ATTAAATAAATTTTATAAAAAATAGACCTTTTAAATAGTTAATTTTATATATTAATATCGATATATTTTTTCAAATTTTTATTATATCTTCAAATTTATTTTTATTCAAAAAGTAGAAACAATATCTTTTTCAAAACGACATAAACCATATTATATTAACAAAGACAAAAAATAAAACAAAATATTAAAATAAAGATATATCTCACTATATTGTACGAATACTCTTCTAATTTCACTAAAAAATCGTCCCTTATTAAAATCTCAAATTTTAGCATAAAGGAGTTATGTCATCCAATTCCTTTTCTAAAATGTATATTCAATTATGCTTCAAAATCCTTTTATGAATAATCTTTCTTTAAAAACAAACTTTATTTTCGTGGTTTTACAGAAAAAAATTATTTGTGACATTCAGTAATAATTAAATCAAATTTGATCGTATTTTAAGTCATTTTAACTGCTAACAAAAATACATTAATTAGTCTAATTTGTAATTAGAATACAAGCATACTTGGAATAAACGCATTTGCTTCTCCTTTTTCTTCTCATTTTGCAAGCACATATATCTTTTATGCATTCGGAATAATTCGACGTTTGCGTATTTTTCATAGACCTACGACCATACAATTGTACTTTTAATTTCTATGCAAGTGTTATAACAATCTTAATGTTATTAATGAATTTTAGGTAAAAGCATGTAACAAAATGGACATCTTAGGACTTAGCAAAGCTACTAGATTACTTAATATCACTATAACATAATGACCAATGATTGCACATAACTATCAATAAAGTAAAAAGGAACGTAATATGTCTGGATTAGAATTCATAAAAAGGAATGGAATATAAAGCAATTAGAATGGAATTTAGGAGTCGTTTACCAAATACTTATCCGGTAAGTGTTTACCGGCAAAATTTAACACTATTATTTACTTACCGAGAAAGATTTTAGTTCACCAAAACGACATCGTATGCAACAATTTACCCGGTAAGTGCTTACCATGGTAATAGTCGTTGCCCTCACTTATAGGATAAAACTCTTGGTCCTTGTCTTGCTCTTAGCGAATAAGATTCTTGGTTTTTACCAAATTCATGTGGTGAGATAATATTACTTGGTAAGCGCTTACCCGGATAAATGTTTGGTAAACGGCCCCTTAACCATGTTTGATCATTTGTTTATTTAGCATGAATACAATTTGTGTGTTTGTTTTATTGAATACAATTTCGGAAATCTATGCACGTTATAAGAAGTTGGGACATTAAATTTAAGAAATTATGTTTTAATAGTTTTTAGCAAAATATTTTATTATACTGTAAGGGTATTAGCTGCATTCGCGCAATGCATCGAGATACATCTCGATTCTAATGTTTTGTTTTATTATGTCTCTGTCGATGTTATAATATGATTTTATGTGGTACCTAAAAACGATAATGTTTTTTTATTTTTTAAATAAAATATAAATTTGAAGACATTATTAAATTTTGAAAACGAAAATGTATCAATTCCAGTGTAAAAATTAAATATCTAAAAGTTTTTTTTTTGTAATTTATATAATTCAAACTTTATTATAATTTAATTTAGATTTTATAAATTAAGTCATTTATTTTTTGTTTAATAATATATTTTTTTAAAAAGATAATAATTAGTATTTTGTTAGATTTCAATGATTATTCTAAATATATTTTAGATTTTTTATATTTAAAATGAAGGTTTAATAAGTTGTACATACATAAAATTATTTGTAATTTTGAATTTTAATTAATATGCATCAATAAACAGTACTTAATATATAAAATTGGTTTTTAAGAGTTTTTATCAAATGTTTTATAATATAGGGGGTGTTTGGAATTGCTTATTTGAAACAACTTGTGTTTTTCTACAAAAAAAACACTTATCAACTTATTTTAAGTCAGAAAGGTTTGATTTCTTCAAAAACTACTTATTACCGGTTTGACACCGGTATAAGTTGTTTATCCAAACACTAAAAAATATTTATTACTTACACCATACTGGAATAAGTCAATAAGTTATTTTTATAAGCAATCATATCTCAAACACTCTAATAGTATAGATATGTTATTTTTTGAAGAAAAAAACTAAAAGAGGCATGTTATTTATTATTAGATTTGAGACTTTAGAAAATATTGTAATGACTAATTCAGGATGTATTATTGCAAAGTAGTCATCATTCACCATGGTCCATGGATTAAATTGCAGCCTCATTTTATCCTTAAGAATGCATCATTATAATAATCAAAACTGTAGATTTCTCCTCGTTAAATCAAGTGGTAAATTTTTGAATTTACCGTCTATAAGTTATTAGTTCAAGTTTTTTTCACATGACGATCCATAGTTGTAAAAGAGCTGTACGTAACACTATGTAGCGACTTGTAATTTCCCGAAAACCGGCACCAAACATTGCACGTACGTTACAAGAAAGACACATAGTTTAAATACTTATACCATTCGAACGTCAACGTCATGAGGTGACATTATCGCCATACGAATCTACTCCTTAAACTTCAAGAACACCGGGGGTGTCCGAACAACATCCATCGCTAACTCACTCACCATCCCGTACTCTTCGAACGCTCTTTCGACCATATTACACCTCAGTAATTCAGGGAGAAACAACCAATAAGATGTTGCCAACACAAACGACACAACTAATGGTGCCGTTAGCTGACGTGGCAAATTCCGTTTCACTCTAAGTGCTTTCTTTATTACTACCTCCATGACCAAACAAACCCCGTGCAGACAAAAGAAAAGCATCACCTCCCCAGTGGGCCAAGCCCTAGTGAAGTAAAAGAAGATTAGCTCGTGCATGAGCCCGGAAACTGCGAATGTGGTCAGGATGGCTGGAACTGGAGCCCACAATCGACCAACAACTCGAACCGATAGTTTAAGCATCGGGTCATATACGGTTGGATGAAGGATGCGGTTGACCATCACATTCCACCGTCGTCCCCAGAAGTCCTGTAGGGATGTGGCGAGATAGGGTTTGTCAAACTGAGGGTCGAGCTCCACCCTAAGAAACAACCCGATGATGGCTGAGCTTATGGCAACCAAAAGCTCTAGCATTAAGTAAACGGAGAACCCAAAGAAGCACCATGCCACCATCGGGTTCATAACCTCATGATGATTATGATAAACCCTAAGTAAAAAGGCAAGAAGAAGACCCTTTGTACCATAGCTGATCACAGACTTTGTGCTGAAGTTTTTGGGCTTGGAAAACCCTTTGCTGGTTTGACTTACATCGATGGGGAAACAAGCCATTGCAAAGAAGCGGAAGAGTGGGATGGATGGTGAAGAAAGGGGACCTTTTTCGAAGGCAAAAAGGAGGAGCTTGAAGTTTGCAAGCCATGAAATGTAGAAGGAAATAGCTCCAATGGAGTGAACAGAGGTTAGAAAGAGGGGGATGGAGAGGAAGAAGATGACAACAGGAAGGATGGTGAGGAGTCTGGGGACACCTTTTGGGATAATCTTGCCTACAAAAAAGCAATACAAAAGTGAAATATATGCATAGAATGATACTTTGATGAGGTTATTCATCTCATCTTTCAACTCCATAATCTCTCTCCCTGTCTCTAGATTCCTCTTCCTCTCACACACACAAACACACACGTTTTAGGGTATGTGGTTGTCAAGGAAAGAAGAATGAGACTAGGAGGCTGTGGCACTTGGGTTTTATGGTGGTGGATGATACAAGGGAAAGTGGTTTGGGTTAAATGTATATTGTACTCCGTATTATTTATTATGAATAAATATTCTATGTTTTTTCTTTTCCTATATATATATAACAAATAAAATAATAATTTGTCTTGATATAATTATTGAAGAGGTATTTAAAAATCTTATGTTTCTTCTTTCCACCAATCAAATTATTAAAGAAAATAAAAAGTCTGAGTATATATATATATATATATATATATCAAATAAAATAATAATTTATCTTATATAATTACGGAATAGAAAAGTGGTATGAATTTAAAAAAACCTAAAGATTTTTGTTCATTATCATGTTTATATTTATTAGAAGGGTACTTGCGTAATGCAGCGAGATACATCTTGATTTTAATATTTTATTTTATTCTTTATCTCAGTCGATGTTATAATATGGTCTTATATGATTTTGAAAAAACGATAATATTTTTATTTTTAATAAAATATAAATTTGAAGATATCATAAAATTTTGACAAAACTATATCGATATTAGTATCAAATTAACTATTTAAAATTCTTTATTTTTTTGTGTAATTTTTAATTCAGTTTCTTTTATTATAATATAATTTATGTTCAATAATGAAGTAATTTATATT